CTGGAAAAGTGCCCTACACCAGTATCAGCACAGAGAGATGTGCCATCGTTTGTTACCCCGGCGGGTGTGAGGTGTTCATAATACCGTGCCTCCAATGCATCGCCCTCCCATCCGGTGATAAGTGGCTTGACAGTATGTGTGCTATTTGCGTCAATATTGAGGCTGAAATTTCGTGTTGGCTGAGAAAATTTAGATTGGATGGGGGGGAGGTAGGTATTCCTTGTGGATAGTATGCTGGGGTAGAGTTACGTGTATCGCAGTTATGACTAATATTTTGTGTGTTTAAGTTATTTTCGTAAATATTAGTCCATTGACGGTCTTGGGTGGTCTGTATGCGATGGTTTTCGGGGATGTGGTGAGTCAAAAGGCCACCTTTAGGAAACATGCCTAGCGCACTTGTTCCTTGTTGTAGAGGTCCCTGGATCAAACTTTTGTCTATAGTAGCCATAGATTGGAAAGTTGTGTCGGGGTAGGTGTATGCCTGCCCGTCGGGCTTCGACTTATTTTTAGGGTGCCCAGACATATAGCGTCTGTTGTGTCTATCGGACGAAGACTTGTTTGATGTTGGATGAATCGGCGGGTTACCTCTCTTTTCATTGACGTTAGATTTATGGCGGTATGAGGGCTTATTCTGCTTCCCTGGTTTAGTGGTATGATTGGGGTCGCTTAAGTTAATGTTATCTGGTTCGCTGCTGAGAAACCTATCAGTGATGTGTTTGAGTACAGGTATTCTGGATGGCAGGGTTATTTTACTTCGTTTTGTATGCTCACTAATCTGAGTGCTGCTCGGGGAGGATATGCTTAATGCTACATGCTCGAGCTTAGTCTTTTGCTTAACGTTGGTAGTGGTATTAGCGGCTGATGGTGATGTGGCTAGCGAGCATAACTCTGAAGATGCATCTAAGTCTATGACCGTAGTTGCTTCATCGTTGAGTTTACTAGGTAAATTTTTATTATTTAAGAGTATTTCATGTATGTCTGTACCATTAGGTTTACTCAAGTTTAAGGCGACAGAGTCTTCTATAGGACATTCTGCTGTTACGTAAGTTTTTGCGACACTTGGTACACTTGCGCGGCTACGTCTTTGACATGGCGTTAGGTCATGGGCAAGTTTAATATTACCATAAGGTGTGGATGAACTAATTAACTTATTTGACGACTGAAATTTCCTAGCATCATTAGGACTACTGAATTTAAACAGCACAGGGCAAGTATACTTTCCTGATTTTTTCCTGAGTCTGATTAGGTGGCAATTCGCTGATGGCATGCCACACGCTTGGAGACATGTCACTTTGATTTTGTCCAGAGGCGTCCGATCAGGCAGATTGTAAGCGAGAACGTTGTACGAGGACATGATTCGTTTAGTAACTTCACTGGCTATAAAGTCTAACATACGCTCAGATTTCAGCAGACTTTCCGGATTAGCATCATGAGTTGGGTTACAAAGAAGCAGTAGTGGCTTAATGGTGTTTATATTCTCATTTAATTCCTTCACAGAGTTTCCTAGAGATATAAGGTCCAACTTATTTTGTTCAGCAGTTGCATATACCTCTGACAACAAGTCGGGAACAATGACTTCGGGGACATTGTTGAGGCTACGCGGAACGCACAGTGATGTACGTATCTTCTTAGCTGAGTGACCCAAACTATTCTTACGTATGGAAAGTACTCGTTTATTACGTTGTGCCATTGCTGAAAACTAATCAATATGGTTTAAAGTTAAAGCCGAGCTAAATCGAAAACGGGTATATGGAAAAATAGTATATCGAGTGGATATACAGATTAAGTACTACTATGGATACCGTATGGAATTTTATTGCTTATAAATAAACAATAAATTTACAAAGTACTAAAAAGTAAGATACAGAGTATATAGAAACCAATTATCCTGTAAATTGATCCTGGTATGTAAACCAAAAAATGATGAACTTCTCTACAGTTTTCTTTTCTGTGACGTTGTTCTAAAGTTACAATAAGGAGGATGAGCCCTGCGAAAGAGTGGATCCAAACTTGATAACTGGCGGTGATATATCTGCAGAATTGGAAGCTAGAGTAGCAGCCAATATAAGTTATAGTTGAGCAGTGGTATAATATCCACTACAATATTCCAGAAATCGACAAAAATATATCCACTTATCCATGCCTGTACAATAGGTATGTTCCTGCATAAACAGGGAGAAAGATATTATTATTAATTAAACAATATTTATGCATGCCTATACAATTGGTGTACCCTACACTGCTAGGGAAAAAATGTACCTTATTATATTATCTTTACTACATATGCTTATTAATATTATCTGTAACTTATCGAATTGATGATGCCTGTAAACTGGCGTCCCTCATGTAAAAATTGAGAATATATATTATTATTATTATTACTATTACTTCTCACAGTAGAAATTCTCCTGAACAGCAACTCGAATACCTAAGCAAGGTCCAGGTAGAAGATTAGAATTTTCGCGTGCATACATGCTACCAGTTACTCTACGCTGTAGCAATCTGGGAGCACAGAACCGAATCCATGCTGAGTCATTCCGTTCCGGTCCAGATGTTCCTCGATTGGATTGTTCAGTAGGTTATCCGTCACCTGTAATACGTTTTGCAGTAGGGCTACTGATCTATAGGACTATGGGTTTGGTAAACTCTCCAAAGTTGAACAATTTTGATAGAAGCAACCCCTTCAGGCCTCCACATCCGACACATTTCTTGTCATGAATATTTCCTCGATTATAAAACATTTTTTCCATGAAAGCCGGTATATGTAATCTTTTGGGAGTAATTTTATATCAACATCTGTTTACTTAGTCTGAATGCGCAATAAACATTCAGACAAAATTCGGCTGATGAGCATGAGAATTTTATTACACTAACCAGAAAAATTCAGCGTTTTCTCCTACCTTTTGTTCATAATGCAAAGGTGCAGAAAAACTGACTTTTCAGTTTAGGCTAGTGAAAACTTCGGTATCAGTTGCATTTTCCACTCGAAACTTATTCTTTATTCAGCTTGTGTATATTCATCTAATGTACTACAAAGATATTTCTTTACTATTGTAAACATTAGTTGAAAATGCACTTGCACTTAATTTTGAGCTATGAGCAGTCTTAAAAGCACCTGCTTCATATCATTTATCTGGGGTGAATATAGCCAACTGAGAAGAAAAGTGAACTTCTTTTGGATATTTTCAGATATCTCCATGATTTATTAAATCATAACGATATAACTGGCCACCGACTTATGCTAAACAGTAATTAAAAACGACTTTTTCTTCCGAAACCTAACTCTAAGTGCGATTATATGGCATACCTCCAATTTGAAGTGACGCCTCCAGGTTTACCCTGACTGTATTTGCGCGGTTTAGTTGGTTCAAGTTGGGGCTAGTCGTCGGGTGAGGCTAAATTTTATAACAATATATTTTCGCGCAGTGTATGGGTTACCGCGTTAACGCATACAGACGCGTTATAATCCCACAGTTTTCTAAAACTAGATTATATTTCATTAGTTTTAGGCTTCTGTAGAAGGAAAAAAGTGGCAACTTTCTCAGTCACGTCTCGTAAACCGTTAATGCCCAGCTCTTGCTACGCTCGGGCTCACGCTGTTCCTTGAAGTTTTTCAGAAACGCTTAGTAATAACGGACGAAAAAACCAAAACACCGATTGGCCGCTTGGGAATTCTTTATTGTAACACCAACATATAAAAATAATGTTTTACTAGGGTCTGTGAACAAATATTACAATAATAAATCACAAGATTACTTCTGATGGTTTACTGCTGACTTCTTTCTGAACAGCGACCGATGAGACGATGACTGGCTGATTGATGCTTCCGTGAAAATTGGGGAAGTTGGTTTTGAGCAAACAACCATGAATTGATCGTTCAATCTTCAACTCCATTGACACTCCCCGCCAGAAAAAGGGATCCAACCCCTTTTTTCCATCACGACCAATACACGTTGACTTGGATGCCATTGCGAGAACCTGGGTCACACGGACAGAGCAGAAATGCAAAACAAACAGAAAAGCCAACACACCACAAGCATACCCACAGCACAATCTCACACATCAATGACGACCTGCGCCTTCCAGTTAAAGGCATCCTCTTGCAACACAATCGCCACTTGCTAGAATGACTCTTGCAGAATGCAACGTGTCCATAGCAGCACCTCATGATACTCTTAGCACATCCTCTTATCTACTCACTACCAATTACCACTGAAATCGCTTGTCACTCATTCCGCTTCAATTCTAGCAACGATGACGTATGCAAGCCTTAGTCGTCTACACTCTTTCTCCCGGCGTGCCGGACCGCAGCTAACAATTATCTCCGTGTGCATTTCATTCTCAGCAATAGCCTAGCCTCCCTGGCTTAAACGACCCATCTGCTGTCCTTAACATCAATCAATTCATTCACGGATGTAGAAGAGTGGACACAACTTCAGAAGTAATCACGACGAAAATTTTAACAAAATTATGTAATAACAACAAGATACGAAAACAACAAGTAAACACAATTAATCCAAAAACACCAATTGATAGGACATACCACACATATATACAAACAGAACAAACAAACTCGCAGATCGTCTCTCGAAGGAATTCCTTTGAAGAATCGCAGGACTTGGAGCAGTTCGCCTACAACCCTTCACAGGTTGACGATTGTAAGTTGTGGAATTTTCGGACACAAACAAGATTAACCAACAATTACAATAATTGGAACTCACACAATTTGTTTAACACATACATATGTACAATCAACACATCAAATGTTGTGGATTCTGGTACAACAAACTACCCTTGAAGAACCGTAGGACTTACAGCAGTACGCCTACATTCCTTCTCAGGTTGATCATCCAAGTGGAAGTCGTCCGGACACAAACAGAATTACCAACAGCTAGATGACAGATGATATCAATTCAGTATATACAATATGAACATATGTACAAAATCATACACCAAGCACACTGGACTGCTAACTGATGCGCTACCCTTTGGAGAATTGTAGGACTTACAGCAGTACGCCTACAACCATTCTCAGGTTGACGCCCTAGGTTGGAAAATCGTCGCAGAGTTCATTTGCTGACTTCCTTCTATCAGCTATATCCTCAAATCTGAACGGCAACACACCCATGTCATTGTATCGTAGAATATAGATGACGAACAAACACACGACATATCTCATCAGCCAAGTGTAGAAACAGAGTAATTTACACCAAAGATAATAGCATTCAAATAGTAACTTGAAACTAGAAACGCCTTTATTCATGCAAGTCAATTTAACAATTACTCTCTCGTTTACACTTGGCTTATTCTCACTAAACTGACCATTGATATTCGTCCTTTCAAACGAACTGATACTAGCATAGTCATTGCACAAGATACTTGAGTTCATGGGCGTCTTTTTCATTGTGGATGTAAACACCAACGACGACTGAATGACACAAGGTGATGAACTTAGCGGTGGATCAGAAGCTGTTGTTGCTCGGCTTTCAGATAGTTGTCCGACTGCAAGATTACCACTGTTGTCTTTTACTATCAGCTCTGGTTTAGCAATAGCATCTGATGATAGGTGGGCTACACGCTGATCAATTACACTGACTGTCTCACAAGTATGCACACCTTCTGGAACTGCATCTGCGTTCAATTCTACTTCACGTTGTAGTTGTACAGAACCTTTAATTAACTTAGCAGTAGTAGGCATATCCCTCATTTCATCATGATCAACCAAATACAACTGTGAAGTATCATGATCATTATCACAAATATTCAATTTACCGTCAAGTTCATCATTTTCAAACTATTTGTTAACAGCAGTAGACAATTTTGGTTCCTCCTCACAAATCATTAAAGGTTTTATATCTTCACTCTGACTAGTTATACTTTGTAAACTTGTGGAGTCAGAACTGCACTCTGAAGCAGTAACTCTATTCTGTGACACTCTATTCAACAATGGCTTACCAGTTGCAACTACAGGCTTCCTTACCACACCGTTATCGTCACACAATTCGGAGTCAGGCCTGGAGTTTACGTTTAGCTTATCACTGAACTTGCTCACTGGTTCACAGCCCACCTTTGTATGCACCTCTTGCAAACGTGTAAAACACAACCGTGTTTGTCTTGCATCTTGTAACTTATCTGTTGAGGATGTACTACGAAACCTGTTACACTCATTAGGTCTATATGCATTACTAGACATCATGGAGCCTTCTCGATATCCACCTCTCTGAGGCCTACTCGTCATCAATGATTGCATTTTGATCTCAGACTGCTCTATTCTAGGGGTGAGATGTAATAGACTGGCAAACTTGCTCATAGATTGATTGACACTAGTATTTACCAGTTTCAGGATATCATCAAACTTTGGCTCGATACCCTCATCCTCCATACGGGAGCTTATCTTCACCCACTTCCTTTGCAGTCGAGTAGGTAGGCGTCTTGCTATTACTTCTAGTATAAAACTCGAGTTGAGGTCACTCATGCGATTCATCGAAATCATTGCATTCTTGTAAATCAGCAAATTATCTAAAAACTCAGTGAGTGCCTGGGAGTCATCCTGTAATTGACCACCATTACCCTTAACAGCCTCGAATAATTTCCCTGCAATCATCGAAGGTCTTCCAAACCTTTGACGTAATATGCTCATAGCCTCGTAGTAGCCCTCTTTTGGCTTCATAAACTTACAGCACTGTATAGCTCTTGCAGCATCTCCAGTGCAATATCTCACCAAATACATTAACTTCAATTCATCACTTAATAGAAAACTACTCAACATGATCTCAAACTCCTTTACAAATTGCAAATAATCAGCTGGGTTTCCATCAAAACACCGTGGTTCTAATTTAGGGAGTTTGATGTTCCTATTATCCCTGAACGGCGAAACAGTAACATCAACCATGTCATGCTTAACATCAGACACATCGTTACAATTAACAGACAAGTCACCATGACTTACTTTCCTGTTTGCATCCAAGACGCTCTGTCCCTTCTTTGACCCAGGCATTGTTGAACTTGAACCAATTTCAAAAACGTTCCAGATATTGCTTGTTCAAAGAGGACTTGACCGGCACCACGAAAGATGAACGGTGACTATCCAAACTTTCACCAACTGTCTGAATCCGCCAGATCTGTTTCTACCATCAGAAACTGTCAGTCACGTCTCGTAAACCGTTAATGCCCAGCTCTTGCTACGCTCGGGCTCACGCTGTTCCTTGAAGTTTTTCAGAAACGCTTAGTAATAACGGACGAAAAAACCAAAACACCGATTGGCCGCTTGGGAATTCTTTATTGTAACACCAACATATAAAAATAATGTTTTACTAGGGTCTGTGAACAAATACTACAATAATAAATCACAAGATTACTTCTGATGGTTTACTGCTAACTTCTTTCTGAACAGCGACCGATGAGACGATGACTGTCGTATTGATGCCTCCGCGAAAATTGGGGAAGTTGGTTTTGAGCAAACAACCATGAATTGATCGTTCAATCTTCAACTCCATTGACAACTCTGCTGTATTTTGTTCGTAATAATGCGTAAAGTTGTCTTGATAGCCCAAACGAATTTTTACTAATAAGGTAATCCTTTTTAAGTAATTTCGCATAGAAAGACTATTATCTGCGTTTTAGAGCCTTGAGGCTTTGTTGGTTCGGAGTCGTTTTAGATCTTAAGGTTGTAAATTAACTACAGGCAATGCCTATTTTCATCTCAGTTATTCTATGAGAGTCGGGCATTTGAAAGGGAAATAGCCCATAGACATAAGTTAGATGTATGCTTTGCGGATGTTAAACACTTCTCTTATCATACGTGATGACTGAAATATTCCATATCATGCGATGAATGAAACAGGCTGCTGATTTTCCTGATGATTTTATCTATTTTGAAGTTCCGAGTGAAAATTGCGTAGGCAGAGATGTGATACTGGTTTAAGTGACATTTGCACATGGAATTTCAGAAGACCGTGATTGCTCAGTGAATAACATGGCATCAGATTATGTTGATATCAGTGTGCATCGGATCACGAAGATTAGTATAGATGGTTTTCCAAAACGTCAGACTACTTAAAATTGGTATCAGCTTTCTGTCGATTAGTAGCTAGCAGCTGTGTACTAAGACTAAGACACCTGTTACATAAGTTATACCGCTCTTAATAATTATTTGATTACAGATCACTAAGATATTCTGAGATCCCTAGTGAATTACTTGCGGCTATGAATTATATGGAAGGTGCATATATGACTCATATCTTTATAGCATTTGCCAGTGGAGTTGAAGATTGAACGATCAATTCATGGTTGTTTGCTCAAAACCAACTTCCCCAATTTTCGCGGAGGCATCAATACGACAGTCATCGTCTCATCGGTCGATGTTCAGAAAGAAGTTAGCAGTAAACCATCAGAAGTAATCTTGTGATTTATTATTGTAATATTTGTTCACAGACCCTAGTAAAACATTATTTTTATATGTTGGTGTTACAATAAAGAATTCCCAAGCGGCCAATCGGTGTTTTGGTTTTTTCGTCCGTTATTACTAAGCGTTTCTGAAAAACTTCAAGGAACAGCGTGAGCCCGAGCGTAGCAAGAGCTGGGCATTAACGGTTTACGAGACGTGACTGACAGTTTCTGATGGTAGAAACAGATCTGGCGGATTCAGACAGTTGGTGAAAGTTTGGATAGTCACCGTTCATCTTTCGTGGTGCCGGTCAAGTCCTCTTTGAACAAGCAATATCTGGAACGTTTTTGAAATTGGTTCAAGTTCAACAATGCCTGGGTCAAAGAAGGGACAGAGCGTCTTGGATGCAAACAGGAAAGTAAGTCATGGTGACTTGTCTGTTAATTGTAACGATGTGTCTGATGTTAAGCATGACATGGTTGATGTTACTGTTTCGCCGTTCAGGGATAATAGGAACATCAAACTCCCTAAATTAGAACCACGGTGTTTTGATGGAAACCCAGCTGATTATTTGCAATTTGTAAAGGAGTTTGAGATCATGTTGAGTAGTTTTCTATTAAGTGATGAATTGAAGTTAATGTATTTGGTGAGATATTGCACTGGAGATGCTGCAAGAGCTATACAGTGCTGTAAGTTTATGAAGCCAAAAGAGGGCTACTACGAGGCTATGAGCATATTACGTCAAAGGTTTGGAAGACCTTCGATGATTGCAGGGAAATTATTCGAGGCTGTTAAGGGTAATGGTGGTCAATTACAGGATGACTCCCAGGCACTCACTGAGTTTTTAGATAATTTGCTGATTTACAAGAATGCAATGATTTCGATGAATCGCATGAGTGACCTCAACTCGAGTTTTATACTAGAAGTAATAGCAAGACGCCTACCTACTCGACTGCAAAGGAAGTGGGTGAAGATAAGCTCCCGTATGGAGGATGAGGGTATCGAGCCAAAGTTTGATGATATCCTGAAACTGGTAAATACTAGTGTCAATCAATCTATGAGCAAGTTTGCCAGTCTATTACATCTCACCCCTAGAATAGAGCAGTCTGAGATCAAAATGCAATCATTGATGACGAGTAGGCCTCAGAGAGGTGGATATCGAGAAGGCTCCATGATGTCTAGTAATGCATATAGACCTAATGAGTGTAACAGGTTTCGTAGTACATCCTCAACAGATAAGTTACAAGATGCAAGACAAACACGGTTGTGTTTTACACGTTTGCAAGAGGTGCATACAAAGGTGGGCTGTGAACCAGTGAGCAAGTTCAGTGATAAGCTAAACGTAAACTCCAGGCCTGACTCCGAATTGTGTGACGATAACGGTGTGGTAAGGAAGCCTGTAGTTGCAACTGGTAAGCCATTGTTGAATAGAGTGTCACAGAATAGAGTTACTGCTTCAGAGTGCAGTTCTGACTCCACAAGTTTACAAAGTATAACTAGTCAGAGTGAAGATATAAAACCTTTAATGATTTGTGAGGAGGAACCAAAATTGTCTACTGCTGTTAACAAATAGTTTGAAAATGATGAACTTGACGGTAAATTGAATATTTGTGATAATGATCATGATACTTCACAGTTGTATTTGGTTGATCATGATGAAATGAGGGATATGCCTACTACTGCTAAGTTAATTAAAGGTTCTGTACAACTACAACGTGAAGTAGAATTGAACGCAGATGCAGTTCCAGAAGGTGTGCATACTTGTGAGACAGTCAGTGTAATTGATCAGCGTGTAGCCCACCTATCATCAGATGCTATTGCTAAACCAGAGCTGATAGTAAAAGACAACAGTGGTAATCTTGCAGTCGGACAACTATCTGAAAGCCGAGCAACAACAGCTTCTGATCCACCGCTAAGTTCATCACCTTGTGTCATTCAGTCGTCGTTGGTGTTTACATCCACAATGAAAAAGACGCCCATGAACTCAAGTATCTTGTGCAATGACTATGCTAGTATCAGTTCGTTTGAAAGGACGAATATCAATGGTCAGTTTAGTGAGAATAAGCCAAGTGTAAACGAGAGAGTAATTGTTAAATTGACTTGCATGAATAAAGGCGTTTCTAGTTTCAAGTTACTATTTGAATGCTATTATCTTTGGTGTAAATTACTCTGTTTCTACACTTGGCTGATGAGATATGTCGTGTGTTTGTTCGTCATCTATATTCTACGATACAATGACATGGGTGTGTTACTGTTCAGATTTGAGGATATAGCCGATAGAAGGAAGTCAGCAAATGAACTCTGCGACGATTTTCCAACCTAGAGCGTCAACCTGAGAATGGTTGTAGGCGTACTGCTGTAAGTCCTACAATTCTCCAAAGGGTAGCGCATCAGTTAGCAGTCCAGTGTGCTTGGTGTATGATTTTGTACATATGTTCATATTGTATATACTGAATTGATATCATCTGTCATCTAGCTGTTGGTAATTCTGTTTGTGTCCGGACGACTTCCACTTGGATGATCAACCTGAGAAGGAATGTAGGCGTACTGCTGTAAGTCCTACAGTTCTTCAAGTGTAGTTTGTTGTACCAGAATCCACAACATTTGATGTGTTGATTGTACATATGTATGTGTTAAACAAATTGTGTGAGTTCCAATTATTGTAATTGTTGGTTAATCTTGTTTGTGTCCGAAAATTCCACAACTTACAATCGTCAACCTGTGAAGGGTTGTAGGCGAACTGCTCCAAGTCCTGCGATTCTTCAAAGGAATTCCTTCGAGAGACGATCTGCGAGTTTGTTTGTTCTGTTTGTATATATGTGTGGTATGTCCTATCAATTGGTGTTTTTGGATTAATTGTGTTTACTTGTTGTTTTCGTATCTTGTTGTTATTACATAATTTTGTTAAAATTTTCGTCGTGATTACTTCTGAAGTTGTGTCCACTCTTCTACATCCGTGAATGAATTGATTGATGTTAAGGACAGCAGATGGGTCGTTTAAGCCAGGGAGGCTAGGCTATTGCTGAGAATGAAATGCACACGGAGATAATTGTTAGCTGCGGTCCGGCACGCCGGGAGAAAGAGTGTAGACGACTAAGGCTTGCATACGTCATCGTTGCTAGAATTGAAGCGGAATGAGTGACAAGCGATTTCAGTGGTAATTGGTAGTGAGTAGATAAGAGGATGTGCTAAGAGTATCATGAGGTGCTGCTATGGACACGTTGCATTCTGCAAGAGTCATTCTAGCAAGTGGCGATTGTGTTGCAAGAGGATGCCTTTAACTGGAAGGCGCAGGTCGTCATTGATGTGTGAGATTGTGCTGTGGGTATGCTTGTGGTGTGTTGGCTTTTCTGTTTGTTTTGCATTTCTGCTCTGTCCGTGTGACCCAGGTTCTCGCAATGGCATCCAAGTCAACGTGTATTGGTCGTGATGGAAAAAAGGGGTTGGATCCCTTTTTCTGGCGGGGAGTGTCAATGGAGTTGAAGATTGAACGATCAATTCATGGTTGTTTGCTCAAAACCAACTTCCCCAATTTTCACGGAAGCATCAATCAGCCAGTCATCGTCTCATCGGTCGCTGTTCAGAAAGAAGTCAGCAGTAAACC